AGAAATGCCATGGGAGCTTCGGTGTGCGAACCGAACACCAGTAAGCGCTACTTGCCGATTACAGCGATTATCGTTTGCGCCAATGAGCGCTTAGCTTTCATTGCGAGGCTGACATCCGCCGTTTCAGTGGCCAAGTTAACGTACACAGGCTCTGTTCAGCCACAGCTAGACGTTACGGGCCGCATTCACAAATGGCTCACTCTATGGCACAGTGGCTGTTGATCTTCTTTGGCGCGATGACTGTCAGCGCCCTAAAGGACTACCGCGAGGTCCTCATGGGGCCGTGCAAGCGTGCCACTGATTGCATGTGTGACAGCCAATGCGGTCAAAGGAATGACTGTTGCCCTGCCATTGACCTTGGTGGACCAAAGCCATCTTTTGAACCGCAAAGACGATCCTGTATTACCATCGCGCACATATTTACGAAAGAAGAGGTAGTCCAGGCTGATAAACCGATCGAGGCGATTGCATCATGCCCGGAAGACGAATCACTGTCTGTGGACGTGGTCAACGCATGCAAGGCTAGTAGCTTATACGAGCCGGAAATGCAGGATGTAATTTTAGAAGAAGGACCTTTTGTTTGGTTGAAAAAGCATGCAAGAGTACTGGTGCCCGTGGTGGACGTCAGAGACAGACAAGTCTATGCTAACATCGATTGTGCTATTTGCAATGGCGTATTTTCTTCTAAATCACCGAACATTCCACTTTGGGAGATCAAAAAATATGTTCTACTGTATCCCTTGAAAGTTACTTGCACGGAAAACATGTCAGAACTGTCTTGTCAGATCACTGGCGACCTCCCTTACAGTTTAAGCCCACTCTGCAGTTTCATGGGTCCGCGGGGGATTATTCACTATCCATCGCTTTATGCATTTGGATTTGATGATATTTTCATTCTCCCCGAAGAATATCTAGCTGGTGGCAGTATCAAACTTCCATTTGAGCAACTTCAAGATAACATCACCACCACCAACTCTACGACCGAGCTTACGGAAAGCCAGAAAAATGTGGGAGAATTCATGTATTGGCTTCAAATAGTAATTACTTGCCTATCCATCTTGGGTCTCAGCGTTCTGCTTCTCATTTACTGGAGGTTTTCACAGTTGCGTCGTTCTTTGGCTGGTCGACTGACAATGGGTCTTGCGGTGGCTCTTCTCTGTGCTCAGGTTGCTTTTCTGAATGTCTCAATTATTGTTCCGTTGGTGGAAAACCGAGGGTTCTGCGTCACTATGGCGACTGTCTTTCTCTACTGTCTACTATCCAGTTTTATGTGGATGGCTCTGTTTGGTGGCAAGTTGCTGGCGACCTTCACCAATGTGAAATCCCTTCTGACGCGAGCCTGCCAATGTGGATGCATTAAACAACTTCTAGATGGTTCATCACGCTCAGGAGTAAGTTCAACCCATTTGGAATCTAGGAACGCTGTTTCTATGCACCGTATAAGACAAAGAAACATTTCGAATCTAGTTGAAATTCCAAGCGTTGCCTGAAAAAAAAACATTACATAGGCTGCAGTTCGCATGGAAAATGTGTAGAGTCGCTTAGAACAACAAGAGAACGGGGAGTACAAAAAGAGAAATATTTACGTTAGGGGTAGCAACAAATAATCATTGGAATACATTAGTCAGTTGAATGGATTTTCAAATGATAGAAATAGCTGAGTATGAAATCAAGAGTAGGCGTGCATCGCTTTATTGGCTTCCAGAAGCAGAGAAGCTCAGTTTGAATGGCAAAAGTCGCCAACAGGTTAGGAACTCTCAGGTCGAAGGCAGTCTTACTCTACCCATTGACACCACGTAAGAGCGCATGTTTGTTTTTGCAGTCCCAGCTGGTAGTCATAGTTATGCTTGACGGAAGAAAGACAAAATGAATCCGAAACGGTTCTGCATCAATATGCCCACATTCTCTGTCGCCTTTCCTCTTTTTCAAATAAAATATCTTCATTCCAGTGGAAAAATTATGTAGCTGCCCAACTGACCAGCCTCCAGACTATTGCCTTTAATAGCACGTTGTGGTACTTTTGGACGCCCTAAAGGTATTATAGTGTGGGATGGGCTGGATCGAAGTAAACTTAACTTCCTCCCTCCCATGTTCCGGTAGTCTGTTAGAGTTTTTTCATGATCGTTGGTAAGATTTGGCGCAGTAGTCGACGTCGTGTAAAGTCCACCTCCTGAGACGTGCTGCAGCGCTGAGCGAAAATGGTTAGACACGCATAAATGTCCACTTGAGCCCGACTATCGTATGCAACGGGCTTTAGTGGCGCCTCTCTGGCTCCAGCGTACTATCTGAACCATCAATTTTACAGCTCAGCACAGGCAGTGGGGAGGACAAAATGGGTATCAAGGTGGAAATTAACGGGAATTATTTGATACCAGTTGAAATTCTCTTTCTTAAGTTCTTGTTCAGGAAACTCTATGTGCTTATGGAATTAAGGATAACCTCATCTATATAATTCTTGACGATAAGGATTGTAGTTAATGCCAGGTTTCAGGCACTGGCAAAATAAATATGCAGTGTGGATTGACGGAGCAGTGAAAAAAGGACTCCCGACGACAAAATATAATTACTAGGGTTATAATCAGATGAACATTTCCCACAAAGACCAGGTTGACTGGAATGGCCATTTCTGGCTCATTAGCCGTCATCAGTTAGCCATAACGAGTCCCAATTGTTTCAACGCCCGGGGCTCGAGCCCGCAACCAGTTGATTAGAAGTCAAACGCGCTTTAACCTACTGCGCTACGGGGAGCGTTGATTTGTCTGTAATACTAACGGCTGCTGGGGGGGGGCTCGAGAGTGAGACCCAAGACCATAGTGAATCTCGTCACCGATCGGTGAGTACTCATCAACGAATGTTTTGGATACTTAGGGTTACTCACCAGAAGAACCTTCAGTCCGTAAAATGACGACTTTTCAGAAAAAGAAATACTTAGCATACCAGACAAGTCTGTACAGATGACCAGTTGCTCGTTGGAAGCTGGATTGTGGGCTACAGAGTCAGCACCATTTCACTTAAGATTATATTTGGCAGAGACGTCGGAGACCACGGAGGTATATACATAGGTGTACAGCATCATTTAATCAATGTCAGGGCATTTGAACGTGAACTGTGCTTAACCGAATCATCCAGGATGTTAATAACGTAAACAACTGGATACCCCTTCAGTAGTGGTCATGCAGTATCAGGACAGTAAAAATTGGATAAATATTTCCAATAGATACAGTTTGTCCAAACCTTGGGATAAACACCAGAAAAGAAGAGGCACAAAGAAAATCTGAAAAGCCAAAAAAACAATGCGTAAAACGGTACAATTAGCATTTTTTGTCCAAGTCAGAAGGCTGCCAAAAGTAGAAAGCAAGGCTCCCTTGCCTATTCAAGTCTTTCTCCTATTCTGAAGTCGTATTCGTTCGTATATTGCTTTAACCGTAGGCCATTCAAATAATTCAGTACTGTTCCGGTACATTAAGCAGTTTTACACATTTTCTACTCAGAAACCGGCGTTTACTTCGTGCGGACCGAAGTTTCAGTCTATATAGCTACTTGTTTTTCTTACAGCCTAACGTCAGCTTTGTTTTTTGTTTGTGGCTGAACCTGTCTCGAGCATGTTTACTCGTGTTCTTGCAAAACATTTTCGCTAAAAACGCTCAATTCACTTAAGCCCGAAAAGCCAGCAGTTAACCAGTATACTTCTTACTAGAACATGTTTGGTAAGAAAGGAAGTTTTTTATAATTTAGAACCGTAATGAGTGGTAGTTAGGCTAAATAATAAAGAAAAGCTCAATGAAGAGGTCAAGACGCACTTTAAAACAATAACAAAATTCTGCCTTTGTTTTTCTGCTTCGTCAAAGAAGAAATATGATGAACATAAATTTTCATAATTCAAAGCTTTTTAGTGTATAACATTAGCGAGTTTTATTTGATTGCCCTCATGCACCAGAATAAACTATTGTCAAGATGGTAATAAAGTTTTAGCACCTTTTAAAGCAGATTACTTGTCATGCCTTATCTATGGAATACAAATTTTCGTTAGTTCTTATGATATTTATTTGGTGTCCGACAAGACCGACGAGTTAACGGTAGTCATTATCCCACCCTAACTGACATTCATCTTGAATACTATAACAAGGGGCGTTCGCCATTATCGGCTGTTACTTAGACTTCGAATTTGTATCTGTTTCGAAGGTTTTCTTCGGTCCCCAAAAGTCTTGGAAAAGTTCCGACCGCAAACGGCCTTTTCTGGGAACTTAAACTCAATAAAATGCACCACACGCACGATTCGGACTGCACTGAAAAGTTAAGAAATTATTTCTCCATCTTATGCACACCTCCTTGGCTTTCAGAGACTGTGCAGCTCAGAGTTAAAACAAAAGTTTGCACCACAGGTATCGCTAATTGCTCCAGTTGTATTTTTACAAGAAACTAAAGGTTTTCTTGTCACTAATTTAGCACAACCTAGTTTCTAACTCCAAGGAAAGAGAAGACGCTTGTATTTTGTGCATACAACAGAACAGTTCATTCTATTTCCGAAAATCATGCGCTAGTAAGCGAAGGTAAATTGTCGCAAAAAATCGAAATGGGCTGCGTACGTGAGGTACCAACATCATAATTTTCCTTTCAAGTCGCAGAAGTATTACCTTCCACCTCTAAATTAGTCTGTCATCCGGTTCACCAAATCTTTATAAATTCTCCGTTCTCGGGAAATGACAGTAGAAAGGCCACTCCACATGCTGACCAGGTCAACTTGTGCTTTTGAGTGTACGCTAAAAATATAAACAATGCCGTTTGGTTCGGTTGTTAATCTGTCAAAAGCTCTCGCGGCAGACAACGTGGTGCGGAGTCTCATGGTTTTATTTTACGATCTCTTTTTGTACACGGCATTATGGACGTGTTTTCTGAATAGTATGAAAATCGACCTTTCTTAGCTCGCATTTAGGAACCAGCAAACGCAAGTAAGGTTAAACGTTTCTTAATCAGACTCCCACCCCTCTCTCTTTTCGAGCATCGTGTGAAGATTCAGTCAAAACACTTTCGTTCTGATCACGAATCCCTTCAGATCGGGGTGACTTTATCGGGAAATAATTTGATCTTAAAATTCTGTATCAATGTCAGCTTTCTATTACATTACGACAAGCTTGTTAAAGGAGCTAAAAGTCTTAAATGTGTTTCTTCCCGTTCAAATTGCTAACGCTTCCAAGGCTGTCAGATAATTTTAACATTAGACAACGCATTTTCAACTTTCGAGATATTCATGTGATGCGCAGCTGAATGTGACGTGGATGTTACCACCGTGTTACCAAGTGCTCTTGTGTTAAGTTATAAACGTTTGCGTTTGTGGACATAAATAAATACAGTCGACACTAACAGCACAGTAAGGACGCTCTATACAGGCAACATTAATTTTAACATAGGCATGTTTGCAGCTACTTTTACGGATTCCTTCCCTGCATTATAATGCTGCGTATACTATTTTCAGAAGGGCCAAAACAATCTAATGATAAGGATGGTTCCAACACGACATCAACGAGGTCGGTATCTGTGTGTTCTTAAATAAATGCACTGATGACAAGCTCCACTCCGCGCAAAAACCCCTTCAGGCTAAATGGAAGCCTGAATCAAACTGAATTAATGGGTGGTACCATACTGGCTTTCCAGTAAATATCTGACTTAAACTCCCAGTGTAAATCACACTCGTAAAATAACAGGCGTTTAAACCGTGCATACGTTGTCTACCGGTTATCTAAACTTGTGATAATTCGACCACTTATCGCGGTAAGGATGTAGAAATTCGTAGCACTCATCCGCTTTATTCAGGATAACTCCTTCAGATTTCGTCTTTTATAAAAATGTTAATTACAACTTAACAAGACTGTTGTTAAAAGAACATCTGAGGGGCTTACGCAATCAGTAACAGGCTCGGTCATATGACTGGTGCCTAGGAGAGGAAGGCGAGACTGAGACAGACACGAAACACAAGGGCCTTCTGGCTGTAATAAATCTGTCGCGCTTGCACTTATAATGAGGCGCTAAAAACCTGGGCTTAGAACGTTACCGAACGTTAACAACGTTTGCATGTGGGATGACTGGCTGACGAACGGAGAGTCAGGCCCACTGGCTCCTTCTTAATGAGGCCTTTATGGCGCTCGCACGCATATAGGAGTGACGACCTCCTTACGAAAGTCCGTTGCATTATAAGTGGACCATGTCTTGCGCAGCAAGCGTAGAAGGAATGTTCAGTTTTATCAACCACTGCGCCCGAACACGCCTCCATTCTTGACACTGACCAGTATCTGACACGGGTCTGTTTTCTTACCAGCGTGGATACTGCGGCACATGCTGCTCGAGTTTGCCGTAATAAAAACTACTTCAGGCGTAAATCGTTGGTGATAAGCCCACTCCGTAGGGCACCAGGTAGACGCCGTAGCTCTCGACATTTAAACAGTCAGTCAGTTAAACATCCGCAGTCTTATAACTCCTGCTCTCTCTAAAACACCCAACCTGATAAAGAAAAACTTCAACATTTAGCAATATCAGTGTGCTGTTGTTAACAATCATGAAGGATATTTCGTTGTCTGCGGAAGGTAAAGGCATAATTTTCAATTTAGCAGACTAATGGTAACTTTGAGTATCTTTACATATGCAGATTCTGGTATACTTTTTGAAGCCTGAAAATACTATTCTAACGATTATGCAACATGAAGAGGACATTCGTGTGTACAATAAAGGAAAATCAATGAATGGCTTATTACCCTTTTTTATGGAAAGGAAGCACTGCGGAACATTTTAAGGCTAACCACTTGCCTGAAGTAGAGGGCAGAACCAAGCTGAACTTCTGACAGAAGGGTTAATTTGCCTCGATCGTTTCTTGGCGTACAAATATTTGGGGAAAAGAGCGTTAGTAGTGGAAGACGGGGATTGCCAATGAAATTCCAGGTCTATACTGTTGCGACCCTCTGGGTACTCACAACGAAAATGTATTTATTTATAAGCAGGCCATCGATCAAAACTAATTTTCAAATTTACTAAATTCCAGGAGTATTTGTCGTCTAATTCACAAAAAAGTAATTCTTAGGTATTAATAGCCGCCGTAAGGGTTAAATGGAAATTCAATCTTATTAAGCATTGCAACTTAACGTTTCCTTGCTAAACTCGACGGTTCCCTAGCGATATTCGTTTTCTCGTTTGATGTAGATATAGTATGTAGCCTAAAATGAGAATATAAATGTTTTCTAATTTTTATCTTTCCTTGGAGTATTTAACACATTTATAGCTTATAAAAGGGAAATTGCGCTTATCTCAAACATTATCTAACCACCCATGCGCTGCATGCAATTTTGAATATGCCTCCAATCAATCAAACACGTATCTACATTGTAGCCATTTTGAGACAAGTGTAGACTTGTTTTGACCTTACTGGTTTAGCTTTTTCCAAAACCTCTCTGGAAAGGCGGAAGACGTCTTGCTATACTCCTGCAGGTGATACTAGTTGTTGGACCCTGTAATGATATATCGATGTAAATGTCCCGCTAGTGTAATATCTTTAGACGCCATTTTACGAGTGTTTTAAACCTTTACATGTGTCAGACTATGCAATCATTGCGAGGAGTTTAAAGCAGAAAGGATAGAAAAAATAAAGATGGAATTCGTGGATAATGGGGTGTGCAGGACATCGGAGAGGAACAGAATAAATCGTGGTAATTCATAGAATGGCATAACTTATCATTCTATATTTTTTATAAACCAGGGGTGTGGGTATAGGAGTGTCGGTAAACACGATGAGGCCTTTTCCTTCAGTTCCGACTCGTTTTACTTTCTGCGTTTCCTAAAAATTAAGAATCAACAAGTGTACCTCAGTTCAATTGAACATGCAATACTTGCTGTTCAAGTCAGGTCTTTTCGAAAGCAAGGAACGTTTGAAGATCGCAATTGTAAATAAAGTTGTCGCCTTACCTAGACAGTAATTATCAGGAATCCAACGATTGGGGAAAAGCACATTTCAGTAAGGAGTTTTCACCACAATATGGAAACGATAAAATTAGTTTGAGTAATTTTATGACTTGTGGATAGCGTCATGTGGACTTTGAATGATACACAATTAACCCCAGGTTTACTTTCGGTTTTTAGAAGGCTTCAGCAAACCAGTTCAGTTCAGTTTATTGAGGGATTTCAACAAAGAGCGTTTAGAGCTCAACTATATGTAATTATAATTTCATGTTTTGCATTGAAAATTCCCTATTCTAACATTCACTAGGATGCACTGCTTTATTCTGATTGAAGGACGGAAATAGGGATTTCAGTTGTGCCTAAAATATACAAATCTTTAGCTCACACAGGCGATAGCATAGTAACTAGCGACCAGTAATTGGGACAGAAATATCGTCAGTAACATTTTAGACTTACTAGCTCTCCTGAGATTAGATCCAGTCGATAAGATTGGAAATATTCAGTTAGGTTTGAAGGACGTCCTTAGATCTGTCTTTATCTCAGGAGAGCAAGTAAACCTGAATTGCTAATGACGGCATTTCTGTCCCGCTTATTGGTTGCTAGTTGCCAGGCTCTCGTCTGTGTGAGCTAAAGATTTGTAGGTTTCAGGCACAACTGAACTCCCTATTTCCGTCCTTCAATCAATGACTGATTTGAGTTGGGCAAAAACCTAGAGCGTATGCTCCGACATGTGGGGTCAAGTGCCTGATGGAGACAAATCAGCCGGAAATAGCTGATTCAGTGTTGTTGTGGTCTCCTTTATGGTCATGGCGTGTTTACTATAACTTTGCACGTCGCCGAAAATTATACTAAATACAAACAACGTTATTTCTTTATCTCAGCTGGGTAGCGCACAAAGCAGACAGAAGTTGTTGTTCAGATGCTTCGTAGGCTCACATCATTTTAAGGTGTGTAGGCTGTTGATCGTAGACGCGTCCCTCACTGAACTTTTTTGGAGTGCAGTTTTTCAGTATGGCCTTCCTTATTTGCTTACGTTAGAGGTTTTATGGAGATAGGGCATTTCCGTGCAAAAATGCATATCAACAGCACCAAGTAGCCATACTCACTCATTTTAAGCGGACCCCTTAAAACGTAACAGCGCTTTTGTTTGCGGGCAAAACGCTTGGAAATTGTACTATCAGCTTAAGAGATTGTGCACTTGATGGGCTTTATTTACCAATTGTACTTTTTAATTTGGCAGCATTTGTACCTTCGGCGGCTTTTTTGCTTTTCAGGGCACGATACGCTTTGCTGGCGGAAAATGTGAATCAGATACGCAAAAGGAGTTCCGAAAGCACCTCTTTACGGCCTTGTTAGTGCCTCTTTGTATAACTGCGGCTGCTCTCATTGCAAACGAAACCGCCTATACGAAGTTACTTCCATTCTATGACAACGCCACGACTTCTAACGACAGTCAAGCACTGGACATAGATGAGGAGCTCCTTCTGGGGCCCGTGCTTGCTAGGCTAAACCCTGGTTTCTGTCCCTACCCTGACTGGAAACGTGCTTGGTTTGCAAAGCTCATGGGACTCATTATCTGGTTTCTCGCGCCAGCTGCAAGTCTTATTTCTTTCAACCTATTGGTCGTGATCATTGTGTGCTTCCAGTTATACCGGATGAGCAGAAGCCATCGGATACGAGAATCTCCTGAAAATACTCATTTGCAGAAACAGAAGAAGAACCTGTTTGGGATCTGCATTAAATTATCCGTTATTCTGGGGGCAAGTTGGTTCATCCAGTTCTTCGCGGGTTGGTGGCCACAGCTAGAGATACTGAGACGCATTGGAGGGCTTATGAACAGTGCTCAGGGTGGAATCATCGCTCTGTGCATGTTGCTTAGCACGAAAGCCAGACGAGTCTTAATCCAGCACTTACCGAAGAGCTGCCAGAGCCTACCTTGTTTCAAACCATCTGAACCTTCATCAAAGAGCACTACAACCAACTCTTCTGGAACCTGGACCAAAATGTTCAGTGCGAAGCAGCGGGCATTGAGAACGCAGTCCAGTTGTAAGACTGATTCGCAGGCGATCAGTCCGTGATGTTGTCAAAACACATCATATCTTTGTGTCATTTATACGGTCACGTTGTTCTGTGATGCTCCACTCCCACTGCTCCATGGCCCATACAAATTAAGTTATCGGTCACCTCGTGAATTCGCTTATTCCTCGGACAAATACACTTTCCCTTCTGCATAAAAGTGCTTGTGGCTGCAAAACGTTCGACATTCTCTGTACCTTTATCGTTTTTTTGCCGAACTACTATCGAACCCTTTGTCAAATACAAATTTCACCGTTGACCTCCTTACTATTGTTTTGTGCAGGTTGACATGCATAGAGTTTACTATCGGCAGTGGTAAACGTGAGATGTCATAAATAGTTATTTACTCCAACGTTGGTTTAGAATTTGCTCACATTTCTGTCAGGTCAGCCTATTGTAACCTATTGAATTTACCATGTCTGATAAAGTATGCGGACCGCCGAAATAGGATTTCCTAAACAATCAACTAGAATCTACCATTTGCAGTTAAATATTAGGAGGTAGGCGGTTACCTTGGTCCAGATGTGATTAAACTCACGGCTCTCGGTGGGGCCTCATAACTTAGACGGCTAGAGGGCTCTATGTACCAAAACCTTCGTCTTGCTGTCGTGGGTTTGGATTCCACAAGACTGCTGAGATTTGCGTAAGTGGGTCAACAGCAACATAATTTATTAAACTTTTCCAGCTGTGTGAGCATATTCAGCCTTATAGAGTAAAACGAAGCTGATAGGGCCCAATTTTGAAAAGTTGAGACAAGTGTGTACACAGTGTTCTCTTGATGCTAAAATCTTTAATAATGTCTACAGCTCTGATTTCCAACAGTTAACAGAAGAATAACTAAAGCAGTTATCATTTTGTTCACTATTCATCACATACGCAGAGCATGTCAAGAAAACTCCTGCCATCCTTTTTAAATATTTCTTAGATGATATTTATGTATGAAAGCCACTGGCAGCTGTATTAATCACAATATAAAGGGTGGATACTTGAACAGAACTTAGAATTTCTATTTATTACCATGGCCTGTATACATTTATCCATATCTTCTACAGAAGATGAAAACCAATTTATTAATTAATTATAGTTCTTTTATGGGAGATTCAGTAACTTCACAAATAGTCATTTCCGCTGGGAAGACTCTCATTATCGCCTACATATTTGAGACTAAACGTGTGTTTTCATGTCTCCTTGCCAAAATTGTGCACGAATATCTAGGAACTTTCTCGAGAACGCTTTCCTGTATCTTCTCCTAGTCCCGTGAAGAGCGAACCTGGTAACTATTTTTTTACAATATAAAGATTGGTTTCTTGATTTGTAAGCAGCAGTGATAGATCGAATAAAAACTAGTCGTATGATATGCACTGCTAGTGTCAAAAAGAACAACCAGAGGGGTATATTAAAAAAAAGCGATAGTCATTTTATTCATGCACCGACTTGGGCTTCTGATGAACAGGCTGCGGATTCAAGCCTCGGGTTGTGCACCACACGAGGCTGGGTATGACTGGCGCATTATGACTAATGAGCTAGAAGTGATCATTTCAGTCTCCCTTGCCTTTGCCGACAATGTTCATCTACCTACACTAGTGCGGCTGCCGACGGGACTCGAGAGTGAGTCCTCCTAGACAGCACGAAACAAGTGAGATCCATTAGCGATCGGTGAGCGTTCATCAACGAAGTATGCTAGTTGTAAATAAATACAGGCTGCCTATGGGGCATTGTGTTGGCCACTTTATATGCAGGTAAGTGAAAGTGTGTTCAGCCAAAACGCAATATCTTGCTCTTTCTAAAAGCGTCTGCTTGGGCTCCATGCCAACCACCAAATCGACGTTACATTAAAAAAGCGTTTCACTTCGGTAAAATGTGGTTGCATTTTACTAGCTTCTGCAAATGTGGGCCGTATGCCTATTGAGCATTTTAGTCTTAAGCTCACCAAACCCCAGAACATTCGCAACAAAAAACTTTTGTCAAATTTTACCAGTCGGTGATATGACGGAAATGATATCTACCTACGATACCAAACTAAAACCGACTAAAGACTATTTTGTTTGTAATAAGCTGTAGAACGCAAATGACCAAACGCAGTAAACATCGCTGTGTCCATTTTTTCGAGCAGAGGAAGGCAGTTAATCTTTTCTGGCCACAAACGGAACAGTTGGCCAGGGACGCATATAGTGCCATCTATTAATTTTGCTTTAGATATTAACTCTTACACATTCCCCTATATCCATGGGGGTTTTTGGTGATCCCGGAAAGGTCTTGGAGATTGTTTTTCGGTCGGTAAACATTCGCGTACGCAATTTAGTTTCATACTGTTGCAGATGAAAGCAAACTAAGCTGGTGCGGCCATATTGTAGACTTAGTCAAACACATCACTCCGAATTTCAACTTGACCCTAAATGTTTGTGTTAAGATAGCATTCGTGCCGTTTACATTGAACCTCTACTTTGCATACATAAATCCCTTAACGCACGCCTTTTGAATTGAAAAATACGTTATTTTACAGCGAAAACAGACGGCATTTTTTGAAAGTTCTCATAATTGGCGCTTACACATTAATATACGTTTATTTTACTGGGAGTAGTCAAATAGTAACGATTTCAGTCATCCTAAAAGCACGATAAATAGGAAGACATCAACTTTATTTTCCCCTATATGCTAATCCTGGGAGTATTATATGGCTAAGCATATCGTTGGAATTTTACTTGGAATTTGAAATACTGCATATATTAATTCATCTCTTGTGGGTATTTTTATATTAAGATGAGCATGTTCGCCTCTCACACTTGAGCTACCGTTAGCAAATAATTCAGCGCAAGCTGAACCTTTCTAAAATAAGCAAAATACGCAATTAATATAATAACTAAAGGCAATCGTTGACTGTAATTAAAATGTTTTGAAAATCCTGCCATTTGCTTCTCCCTGAATTACAGAAATACCCATTATTAGCGGTCGCTTCTACTTCCGGAGTTTCCAGCCAGTTAAGTCAGATGGGCACGTCCCCTTAGCATTTGAACCACTGAGAAAGCAACATACAAACGTCAACAGTACACTTGGTCTACCGCATATGTAGGAGTGAATGCCGCGAGAGGCAGCAGCTGACGAGCACTCGCGAAATTTATTGGTTTGAATAAACTATGCTGTACATGCATGCTTTAAATTAGCACCGGAAAAAAGGTTCAACAATCCTTTAAAATAGTCATTTTTCGAAGTTTTTTTAGGAAATAGTTCAGTTGTGGCCCTTCTATGCGGATTGCGAAAAAAAGAATTAATATAGATCAGCTGAATCCTGCCACGTTTTCTGTTCGAGTAAGTGGCAGCCATTCGAATTTTCAGAGCGGCCCACTTACTTTTGCAGAATTTTTAATGCCTGCCTCAAAAATAAAACCCATGTTTCCCACCGATTTCCTCAAATGCTTTTTTTAGTTTTCCTGCCCTTTTCAGCGCCGACGTTCGGCTTGATTGGATGTAACTATGGCAACGGCTTCGTCTTTAAACGGCCTAGCAAACCGATTAATCCCTTGCTAATGTCGGACTTAGGTCACGCAAGATTCCTACAAATCAAGTAGAGGAAACGTGGAAGAGTTTCAGTTTTTGTGCTAACTACAAGTGTCAGCGACACTTTTCTTCCTATCAATATAGGGGAAGTGCATTATTTAAGGAAAATCGAGTGAAATAAAAGATAACAACGAGAAGTATATGTGTTACAGTTGTTAGAAAACTATAGAAAAGTAAGTTTACGACGACAGCGGCTAAAAAAAATGGATAATTACGAATAAAATAAAGTAAAGGAACCGAATACGGACAAGGTTAACACAAATATGGGAAGTCGCTCGTTGTGTTCTTGAAAAAATATATAGTTGGAAATAACGAAAAGTATCCCTAAGGACAAGGTAACAGATGGCCTTGCGCTATATTCTAGGTAAGGTGCCTATTCCGTATCCTCATCCTAACCCAAACAATAACCGACAGAGTGGTGTTAGTGGGGTAAAATCAAAGTCTACAGGGAAATCACCACTCAGAACCACTCCAAGAGCTTAAGATATGAACAATCTAACCGGTGCGTTTTTAAGCAAATTTGACTATCCCGGGAGCTAATGCAGAAGACGGGATTTGATCTAGGGAGTATATTTCTATCTAGCTTATTTTTGAGTTTAATAATTAGGTAAGTAAATCACTGGCAATACCGTTGTCTTTATGCACTGCTCAAACATACCAGCTCGTATGCAGCCACTTTCCTGTGAGGTCAGATGATAAAGTTTCCATGTCAACTTGATACAGCTAGACAAAATTTGCATTCTCTGAGGATAAAGCGAGGCAGAAATCCTCAACTCTAGATGAAGGAATCTACTTGTCAAATTAATCTGACCTCCATTAACTTTTTTTATCCAATCTTATATTAGAAGTCTATAGCTAGGTGAATCAACTCTTTGTTCACCAGGGCTGAAAGCCTGAAAAATGAAATCATTAGGGTTTTTTGGAAAGGAAACACGGTTAAGAATTCTGTGTTAGATATGTCTAGCCTTCAGATAAAAATGGCCTGACAGTCAAGAACAATTGCTACGGATAAAGTTGCAGGAGCAGAAAAGAAATCCACCGACAGGACTTCCTATGCACGCTGCAATCTGCTGAGAGTTTCAGGATCCAGCAGCCAAAATCCTACATTTGGGGCATAGTTAAAACGATCTGAAACAAATCTAATTGTGCTTGTCAGCAATTACAATGGCAATTTACTCGTGCGAAGGCACTTAGGGTCATACTAGGACAATAATAATAGGCTAGGAGGCCAACAAGGCATCCATAAAGTAAAGTGTGGCGTGGGAATTCTGGTGAGAATTCCATAAATCGGTGCCCTTTTATACCGTTCTCGGTGAAACGAGCCGTAAATACTGCCTGCATGCAAGATTTCTAATTACCACACTGCATCCGTGGCAAACGCAAAATCCCAGACTAAGAGGGCCCTTGCTTGGATGATCCGATATCCCCTTTTTTTTCTGCAAGACTA